AGCAGACTAAAACCTGTTCAAATCAGTTGAAAGTAGATTTGACCAATTACTCTATTCAGCTATTGCCATCATTTGATTGGATAAACTTTGATGCACGCCCCTTTGACCTTATACACCCAATCATATTACTTATTTAGTAGTATATATATGTTTGATGTATTTTTCTTAGTCCTTTACATTCCCAGTGGGAGATAGGGCTTCAAACTAGAGCTCTGAAGTTTCTGTAGCAAAGGTTTTATTTTTACGGGGTGGGGTTGCTAGCCTTACGCCTAACCTTCTCTCTTTACCAGTTTTATTACTGGCTTAGCGAGGTTTGGTAGTGCATCTGCCGGAGATAGAATCTCTAACCGCCTACGTGGTTGGCAAGCATTCTACCTCTGTGCCACCAGCACACTTGGGACAGCACTGAAAATCAGGGAGAATTCGATGTTTGTTTCGTCCTAGTTTGGGACTCTTCAGAAGTATACACTCATAGCTGCACCAAGGATCTAGTCCACACAGGATCATTTAGTCATTTGAGTGGGAATAGAATGGCCAGTGAATTCCAAATTGTTGTTTTATCTGAGACAGACCATAGTGAAGTTAAGGTATCGTAGGCAAAGCCAAGGTCTGTTAAAACTTGACCCTCAAGAACCAATCAGATTCAAGGAAGCCTATGGAATATTATTCCAAATCAAATCATGCCTGTCTCTTTGGATTTGCCGAGGATAGATACAGTATTCTGCTATTTCCTAGGTACTGTTGGCTAGGGTTATGATTTTAAGAATTAAAGTTGGGTTCTAGGGTTAAGGTTAGAACTGTGGTCCAGGAAAACAGTCAGAGTTAGGGGTAGGTTAAAGAAAAGTGTCAGAAACATCAGTGGATCTGAAAGTACCATGATCTATAGTCATCTGAATGAATACATCTGTCGCGCATGGTATGATTTCTCTATAGGTTATCTGAGTAGTATAACTGGAAGACATTCCTACAACCATAAGCGACAATAATCCAGGGTAATATCAAGTGTGGAATGTTTTTTAGTGCATTTTTCAACAATTATGCGACTTTTTTGCATCTGAATTCTGATTGGTTGTTCAAGGGATCACTGGAATTTTGACTACGATAGTTTAACTTCGCTCAGACCACTATTGTCTTCTGATTTCTTCATGGCCTTATGGCAACAGAAGGTATTTGAGGGAGAACAGTCGTATTTTTTCTTCAAGTAAGTTAATCAATGCATTTCAGAGTCGAACTCGAATCTCAGTCTTATTAGAAGCGGTTATATGACAAATTTGGCTACATTTTATTGGACTGCACATACTCTGAGGAAATCATCAAGATACATTCAACAAAAGGTCTTTGAGTGTAACAATATTAAACAATCACTACAAAATAGATTGCGCCAAGTAGGGGCTTCAGCCACACGTCTCTATTGTGTTCGGTTCTCTGCCAACCTTTTCACCCGGCTCTACGTCTGTCAAAATGCTTTCATCTCCTCTTCAGATCACTTCCTCCATGTCACCCTCGTACTGACGACCAACTCGCCGCTTCCCGTTCGGGTCCCACTCGAGAGATAGAGAGAGCCTGGCTTGTGGTGTCACTCACTTGATGGTTTGTTTCCTCAGAGTATGGTCAATCCACCTCCATTTATCCTGCTGAGTTGGTTAGCCCCTAGAGATCCCTCCCTACTGCTCATCTTTTTTAACAAGCCATCTGCTCTTGAGTAATATTGAGCGAAGACAGTTGTTGATGATGGTGTGTAGTTTGTTCGAAGTGCCCTTCGTGACGCAGCGCAGTGACAAGTCTATGACCCGAATGGTTGCACTGACTTCACATTGCAGTTCAAAGCCGGATCTTATTTTCATGCTGAGTGCTGTTGATCTCTACACAGACTAGAGAGTATTGAAAGCTTGCCTTGCTTTCCTGATCGTTGCCTTGATATTCTCATCAGATCCGTCAACCTGTAGTTAAAACAATGATCCCAGGTAGGTGATAGAGGAGATTGCTTCTTTCAGATTCCTCCCATTCATGCTGGTTGACTTTTATCTTTTGTTTTTGCTGTTGGCCAGGAATTTTGACCACCTCTGTTTTCTCTATGTTCACCTAAAGGAAGTCCTACCTTCACTCAATGCTTATTCTGCCAACTTGTTGCTTTTCACTTGCATATCTTCCAGTTTGTGGGAAATCAGACATATATCATCGGCGAAAACATTACAGTTATTAAGTGCCAAAAAAGTATTAGAATAAAGGAACTCGGATATTCTAGTAAGTGAGGTGAGAAAGTAAATCACTGAAGAAGACATTGTGAAGTGGTCACACTATATCATGAATTCACAGAATTTAGAATTCATGTACTGGCCATTAGATCGGGAGCCAGTAGCTTAGCGGTCTACGAGTTCGCTGGCCTTGTAACCAAATGGTCCTGGGTTCGAAGAAGTCTTGGTGGGTGCGTACTGATGAAGAGTCCAAAACTAGGCTGACGAAACAGCCATCTGGCAGTACCCTCTGGCTGGTTTTTCAATGGTTCTACCAAAAATTTACAGCGAAACACATATTAAAGTCTTCTCGCATCTGTCTATGAAAGCACAACAAAGATGCTACTCATATGAAAACTTACTCAATCTAAGGAGCATGTTACAAAATACTAACTGGGATTTATTCCATGAAAGCTCATTAGATGACACAATTGTCAATATAACGGATTATCTTAAGTTTTGCCTTGATATATGCTGTCCCAAACAAACTCTATTCAAACGCCTCGACCGCTTCTCATCTCCTTATCTCAAACAACTTCGCAGGAAAAAAGAAACTTTATACAAATCCAAAGACAAGTTAGGACTCAAAAAGATCAATGCTCAGATCAAATCTGAAATCAAAAATCGTAATGCTATCTATAATGATACACTTTTATCATGTAAATTTCCAATCAGTATGTGGAAACTTTTTAATGAAATTACTGGTAATAGTAAGCGTTGTAATGCTTTTCCCTCTTATGACGTTAATGCTCTTAATCAGTCTTTTATACGCTGTCCTTCTACTTTAACTACTTCTAATGTTACCTATCATGTAGTTGAAAACTTTCATGACTTTAATACTCTCGATGTCCTAAAATGTCTTAAAACGCTCAAGCCCTCACATAGCCTTGGTCCTGATAGTATACCTGCCTATTTTCTAAAACAATGTGCAGATGTGTTGTGTTCTCCACTAACTAACATCCTAAATGCTTCTTTCTCTAAAAATATCGTACCTGATGCATGGAAAGACATCAAAATTGTCTCCGTCCCTAAACCTGGAAACGGCAAGAACGTAAAGTTCAGACCCATTGCCATCACTTCCCCGTTTCTAAAGCTTATGGAAAAACTAATACTTCTTAAACTCGAACCCCCCCTTAAAAACTTCGAAGACCCCAAACAATTTGCCTATAGACAGGGTAGGAGTACATTAGACGCTGCAGCTGTCTTACACAACAACATCGTCTCATCATTAGATAAAGATGCCAAATACATCCGCTGCACGTTTCTTGACTTCACTTCTGCTTTCGACTCTGTTCCTAGATGTCTCCTGCTAAATAAGCTCTCTTTGACGAAAACTGAGTCCTTGGTCACTAACTGGTTGCATTCCTACTTCTCTAACAGAATGCAGTACACCGTGTAAAAAGGTAAATCATCCTCTGCTGTACTCACTGAAGCCGGAGTCCCACAAGGCTCTGTACTCTCCCCACTTCTCTTTTCTTTCTTTCTACATGACTTACCATCTTCAAATGACATTAATTTTGTCAAATACGCTGACGATCTGTCTGTATCTTTGCCTATCAAATGTCACAGCGACTGCTCTAAACTTAATGGCTTTCTATCAGAAATCAGCCAGTGGTCCAAGGAAAATGGTCTTACCTTAAACCCCTCCAAATGCCAAACAGTCAATTTCACCTTTAGGCATAAATCCGACCTAAACAAACTGTTTGGCTCCTACGAGGTATGCAACATAGACGGCACTGAAATAGAAACTAAATCGGAAATTAAATACCTAGGTGTCATTCTATCTGCTGATCTCTCTTGGTCGTCTCATATCTTAGCAATTTCTAAGAAAATATTCCGTCTTACCTTCTACATCAAGAAGTTAAAACATTCTGGTATTACCTAACCCTTACTCCTACAATTCGTTAATTCTCGCATTCTGCCTATTATTCTCTATTGTTCCCCCTTAGTTTTTCCTGGGCTACTGAAGAAAGACTATAACATATTACGCAGGATGTTAAATGTTGTCAGCAGGGTAAGCAACGTGCCACTTAACCAGCTTGTTAATATTCTGGATGACAGGCACATGGACTCATGTGAAAAATGGGCCAAATCCATTCTATCTAACTCACACCATCCTCTTCACTCACAACTCTCCCCTTGCATCTCATCAGGTAAAAGCAGAAGCCTATATAGAAAACTATATGCTCGCACCAGCAATTACAAAAACTCAACCATACCCTACTTAGCCCGTATTCTGTGCGATAAAGAAAGCATTAGGCATGACACCTATAATTCATTAAATAGTCAGTAGTACAACTGGATCTCGTCTTTCCAACCCACATCATCAACAGGTACAACATTTTCTTTCTTTCTTTTCCTTTTCTCTCTCTCTCTTTCTCTTTTTTTCCGTTATGTGCCGCTTTGTTTCTTTCTCTCGCTTACGCCAGTAAATATGACAGCTCCCACTTTTCTAACACCTTCAAACACTGTTTCAGCTTTACCTTTGCTACCGACATGCCAATGTGTTGTTGTAATAATGAACTGTGGTTTCCTTAATCTATGTAGAATTCTATTTATTGATAATGTACTAACTGGATGCAATACTGTAGTAAAAATGCTGAGAATTCCATTCTGTATCACAAGTACTGTTTTGGAATAAAGCAAATTATTATTATTGTTATTATTATTATAATGGTTCTCTAACTAATGTTAGCTCATGTTGAAGTCCTCCAACCAATCAAACAAAATCCCTACAAAAAATACCAGTACTTGAAAATTATTTATTTACTTCAAAATTCAAAATTCAATTTCAAAAAAGGAGACAGAAATATCAGAGAAACAGAAAATCAAATAGTTAAGGGAAATAGCTAATTAAATCATACCATATTATGTATATGAATAGAGTAAGATTATTACAGTCTTATCATGCAAAATAAAAGAGCAGTTTCATTTTGATTACAATAGGCTGATTCATTTTTCAGTAGAAAAGAGATCAAGAAACAATCAGAAAAGAAGTAAAAACAGAGAAAAAAGGAGAAAAATATCTGATTTCAAATAAATGCATATTTACTAGAGACTTCTGCATTCACAAATGACTGATTTTTAACATTGTTTCGTACAATTAAAAAACGTTTTTGAGATAGCTTTTACACTACTTAAATGTTTTGTCAGTAGCCTAAATGTGTAAGCAAAATATTCGGAGTAAGGCTAGATGTTTATGTTATCATTTCAATATTAAGGAAATCTTTTCATTCTCATTCAAATGCTTAAGATTTCAAGGTTGACAAAAAATTATGATGGTAGTTATTATTCTGAATTTTGTTGTTGTTGGGCAGACTTCATTCCAGTTAAAAAACGATCTGATAAGGCGAAATATCCTGATTTACGTCGATAAACTAAAATTGGTTTATGCTTGCCAAGATCTTGATTTTTACCAGTGACCCCTGTGTGTATTGAATTTTCAATTGGTGGATTCATCGGTTGGTGTTTTTGTGTCTGTGTTTGTTGACTGTTTGATCCACACATTATCCACCATGCAGGACGTGATTTACTTGACTTACGAATACGTTGTATTGTTGTCTGCTGTGAACGTGATTCACCACATGAACTGCTAGTTGTTGTTGATTCAGAACGTGAACTGATGGAGGCATGACTTTTGAATGGGTGAGATTCAGGATCTTTGATTGAATTTAGTGTGCCTGTTTGTGAACGTGATGTTGTTGTGGTTGTTTTTGTTGTTGTGGCTGCTATTGTCGTTTGGTTTGTATTGGTGGTGTTTGGAAGCGTGTGTACTGAATGTAGGATATCTGAAGTTGTATTTGTAAATTCAGCCATGTGTAATTCATCTTCTAGTTGGATTTCTTAAAGAAAGAAAAGGAAAAATCGATAGGAAGTTGAAGAAATAAATATTTGAGTATGGTGACTGTTGAGTCACAAGCACTCATCAAGGTTGTTTGGAGAATAAAATTTGCAATTTTTAGATAGTCAGTTTGAAGTGGCAAATCTCGACCCTAAATATTTAGATTCTAATATGCTACTTGTTTGATGGCGTAAATGGCGGTCTCTGACTAAGTGGTTGTTGATTGAGTGATACCAGTGGTTGAAAACCGTTGACGTCAAGCACTTCGGTTTTTTCTTTATTCCTTCACGTTCCCAGTGGAACATAATGGCTGGCGCAGATGCATCCACTCCTTGTGACTTGTAATTTCCAATTAAACTGTTTTGTTCTTCTTTATTACTATTCCTTTGTCTCACACCTCTGTTTACTGTCTATATTATACATTTCTCCTACTTTCTTCTCTTCCTTTGTGTGCTACAATTAGGGAGTGTGGCGACTTGAACTGCCGCACATATGTGCAAAGTTCTATGTCGAAAACAGACAGACAGATATTGTTGATTTTAGTTTCAGATGTGAAATATACTTGCGTGGACTGTAATATCGATGGTACTGTGGTAGGGAGTATACGAATATCTTTCATCTCGGCATCAGTTTCTTTTCGTGTGCGTCGGTGGCACAGTGGTTAGGACTCTCGCCGACCATGCACATGGTCCGGGGTTCGATCCCCTGCCGGCGCACACCCGATATCTATGGTATGCCTGAATTTGGGCAACCGATATCCATGCTGAAAATTCCATACTTGTACTGAAAATACGGTGTGGAATCAAGCTGTAAATCAAAATAAAAAATAAATAAAATAATTCATGAATGATTACTTCTGTTAAATAATGACATCCCCGCATAATGCTCTCTGGTTTTTAATGTTTCTCTAGCTGATTTTATCGTTAGTGATGAAATTTTTACTTGAAATCCCCTAAATCTGCATAAACTCAATATTTATTTGTTTTTGTTTTATTATTCCCTGGAGTTCCAAGCGGAACATACGAGGGCTTCAACAACACATCTCCACTTTGTTCTGTTTTCTGCCATACTCTTCAGCTGGGTCCACGATTGACCATACTCTACCATTTCTTCCTTCTTCTCGCACGATCTCCTCTATGTCACCCTCACACCAACGACACACTCGTCGTTTCCCATTGGGATTCTACTCAAGCACTGGCCTGAATTGGTCGCGATGTCATTCGACGGTCTCCTCAATGTTTGCCCGATCCATCTGCATTTTCTCCTACATATTTGTTGAGCGATCGGCCATTGGTTGGTTTGTTCCCAGCCAGCCAGTTCTAAATTTTTTATGGCCATTTGATCTTCCCTATGGGGCCAGCAAAGTGTGCAGCTGTTGGTAAAAGTCCGCAACAGCTTGTTGGAAATGCTTTTCGTGACTGACACGGTGGTCAAGTTTCTGAACTATATAGGAGGACCGACTTGACATTGGTGTTGAAAATGCGAATCTTGTTCCTTATGCTGAGTGTAGTGCAGAAGATTTCCAAATTGGTTTAAGGTTGATGAATGTGTATCTTGCCTTTTCGATTCTGGCTGGGTTTGACATCCTCGTCCGTTCCGCCTGTAGTTGAAACGAAGCTTCCTGATCAGATAAGTGAAGCTGGCAACTTCTGTTAAATCTCTCCCGTTAGAGGTGATTTGTGGTGGTTGTTGTTGCTATTGCTGTTGGTTGGTTGGTTGGTTATCTTCATCACCTCCGTCCGTCTTCTCTGCGTTCAACCTGCAGTCCTGCCTTCGCTTCCTCTTCAGCCAGTTTGTTGGTTTTCGTCTGCCTGCAGGTCTTCAAGTTTGTGTGACAGTGGACATAAATCACCCACGCGCGAAATCCAGATCTTCTAGAGTTTTCTTATCGTTCGTCTAGTGTATTCCTGACTCCTCTTCCCCTACAATCTGCCTCAATATATGGAATTAAATTTGTCTAAATTCTGATTAAATGTTAACAGGTGGACATTTAAGCTATCTGGACTAGTCTTGGTCAAAGTTATGTACCAGTAAGTAGTGAGTAAGATTGATAGAGAGGAATAAAAAGTATTGAAAGAGGCGGGAGAACGTTTTATACACTTGAAGTGTTATTATTCTAGTTGTGAGAGTGACTAGTGACTTATTAGTGAACATAATAAGGAAAATTAACTGTCTATCATTGTTTTTCACATGAATTTTAAGTAGAGGTGGTGTTATTTTTTAAAATTTTCACTAAATATGGTTACTAGTCTCATGCTAGTCAAGGTTTATGAGAGTTTGTGGGCCGAAAATCGAATGCAGATCACTGATACACCTGTAATTAATGTAAGCTCAAAGTTGGACATATCTAAAGTGGAAATGTGGGACAGTGATAACACTGGTTAGTTACATAATCTTAGACAAATTTAAACCACATCGTAACGTCATTATTTACCTGTTCCATTAATGTATGCAAATAATCCAAAATCTTTGGAATCGAATATTCTCATTTGAAATGCGATCAGATTGTCTAGAGGACGAAAGTAAGGAAGGAAGAAAATGAGAACAAAACACGAAATCAATGCAATAAGAATACTTATATATGAGTAGTATGAAAAAGCAATAAGAAATCTGATAGAAAAAACAAACCAATACACTAAATTGTATGATGGTGTATGTACACAGTACTTATTAACTGAAATAAGTAGTTTGATTTCACTCACACACCAACCAATAGTGCTTGTTAGCCAGCTAGATCGAAAATGATTTAAACATTGGACAGCAGCTTTGTTAGTTTGAAGCAGAAATCATTCAAATAGGACATCTTTTTGTTGGAACATCCACTCAGGCACGTCTTCATTTTAGCTTTCATCCTTGCCAAACAGACGAAAGGAAAATTATCCAAAGCCGTTGGAGGATCTTGCTTCATGTCACATGACTGCTGACTATTATATTACTAGAAGATCCTGTATAAAGAGTGAGTATTTTTTAGCAATAAGGTAGACTGAGAATTCCATACTGTTTGGAAGGATTTCAGTCAGAATGAAGCTGTCATTATTACAATCACTGTCAACAGGAGAAATCTAAAGGAAATGGTCGCTTTCACTTAACTAGGCAGCAGGCTTTCAGCAGCGGGAATTAAGGATGACGATATCAAATAGAAGTTTAGAAACCTTCATTCACCTCATAAGAATCGTATTTTCAACACTGATGTCAAGGTAATGCTTCCACCCATATGGTTCCAACGTACTGCAGACTTTCATCAACCAAACAGATATCTTAGCTGTCAATGTATGCTGAGAAGATCGCTGAGTGATATCAGGCACCAAGTGAGTCATCGCGTGCAATCCGAATCTGAAAAGATGAGTTAAACCTATCTACGAGGATGACATTAAGGGGGTCATGTGTGGCAGAAATGAAAGCTTGTGGGCAATCTTTGAGTCAGAACAGAGTGCCAAGGAGATGTGCTGTTAAAGCCGTATGTTCCACCTACAACACAATTATTATGTTTATTATTATTCCCTTGGGTCCTGAGTGAAAAATAGGGAGGGCTTCAACAACACATCTCCACTTTCTTCTATGTGATTCAGTCCTCTTTATCTGAGTCCACCAATACCCATAATCTCTCATCTCCTCCTCCAATTCACATGGTCTCCTCTATGTTTTTCTTGTACTGACGACCCGCTCTTCGGTTCCCATTGGGATTCCATTGGAGGGCTTTGTGCCTGGAACACAATGGAATAACAACAATATCAAAATTCAGTTTATACTAATATACGTGTTAGACTTGGGCACTGTGTTAGCAAGTAATTCCACATTAGTTGGTTTATTAGATATATCACACAGTCAGTGAAACAGTATTATTATATACTGAACGAAACAGTGTCGAACACAATTCACTTATTGTTCATAATCATACCATCAATTATAATCACATGACTTCGAATCTTGAGTTTTATAGTTTTCTTTAGTCTCTCCTGTTTGTCGTTGTAGGCGTGGTGGTAGAATTTTCCAGATATCTGGGTGGATAGGTGTTGAATCATCCCTATTACATGTATTTGCAGTTGATTCGATAAACAAAGCTTCCGTTATCAATCTCTCCCTCCACTCTGCTGTTACATTAGATTTTAAAAATGTCATCTTATCCCATCCATCCTACTGTATGGTTGTGTGTAATTGCATGTAGTGAGTGCTATCTACGGCTGAACTATTCTCTAGATTTCTTATCTTATTCGGGTCAACTAATCGAGATTTTGCTGCTAGGTTTTTATTTTCGGCTAGTCTGACTGTCCCTGTTCTACTACTTTCCCCAATGTATTTGACTTGAGCATATAAACCAAGTAAAATCTAGATTAGTTGACCTGAATAAGACAAGAAATCTAGAGAATCGTTCAGCTATACCACTCACTACACGCAATGACACACAACTATACAATAGGATGGATGGGATAAGATGACAGTTTTAAAATCTAATGTAACAGCAGGGTGGAGGGAGAGATTGATAACGGAAGCTTTGTTTATCGAGTCAACTGAGAGAGAATGCGTGTAACAGGAATGATTCAACACCTGTCCAGTTGGACATCTGGAAACTTCTACTACTCCAACGACGACAACTAGGAGAGAACAAAGAAAACTGTAAAACTCAAGTTTCGAAGTCGTGTGATTATAATTGATGATATGATTATGAACAATGATAAATTGTGTTCAAAACTGTGTCATCCAGTAAATAATACTGTTTCACTGCGTGATATATCTAATAAGCAAACTAATATAGAAAAATCCAGTTCAGTTCTTATGAATACTGAAAACGTTTGAAAAACACGGTAGAGCTAACAGGAGTGGGGTATAAAAATATTGGTCAACTTACTTAATTCTCTCGCTGTCATATTTGGTCTAATTGGATAGCTTAACACTTGTAGCCGACTAGTCTCTTCATTCATTACAAATACTTGTAGGCAATTCCCTTGATTCGGATTCACACAAGACACTTGTCCAAGTGAATAAGGCATAGAAGTTGACCATGTATTAGTTGGATGTGTTACCATTGACGATTGTGCAATCCATGGACGCCATCTTGATGATGAAGTTGATGATGAGGTTAACAGTGAGGCACACGGGGGATAAGAATGATCTTCATTCAATGTTAAATGAGAAATCGACTGTGGTTTTGTAAGATGTGATAGCTGATTAGGTCCATTGGTGGTTATCTTTGGCTGGATTGTCAGTGTTTTGCCATTATGTAATGCTGTAGGTGATGGTGCTTTTATCAAGTCATTTAGATTTCCAATAGTATTGATTGTTTTTGCTATATTTACACCGGTAATAGTTTTCCGCCGACGTGGTGGTATAATAATTCGACGTCTTGTGAATTCTTTAGTTGATTGAAATATGCCTGGAGTTGTACTGCCATCTCCAGATGGCTGGTGTTTACCATTGTTATGATGTGGGGAGAATTTTGAGAAACTGGAGTATTTTGAACCAACAGCATCATGCAGCGGGTCATCCTGAGTCTAAAATATTAATAGCTAGTTTGTTAATTTTTGTCAGAGAATGTTTATTGAATTGTTAGGAATGAAGTTTACACAAGTATATATCGATGAGAAAAGAATCTTTAAATAATTTTCAGTTATTGGTTTTTTAGGGAGTGTGTCCGACTGCTTGGAGGATATCATCAGGAGCTGACATCAGCAGAGAACCATTGACAACCACTGGAAAACCCTGCAGGGAGTACTGGACAGCTGTTTCATCCTAGTTTCATACTCTTCATCGGTAGGCACCCACCAGGATGGATTCGAATCCAGGGCCTTCTGGTTACAAGCTGAGCTTGTAGACCATTATCATTCCTTTGTGTTTAAATTTATACTACTTATTACTAGTTAGTAGTGTAAGTATATACATATATATTTGTTAACTATGTTTTCACTCCGTAACCATCACTGTTGATTGCTATTGAAGTTAATCTCATTTAATGTATTAGTATTCTATAGTAATTATCTTAGAATACTTAGATGATATGTGCTTTTGAATGCTTTGTTTATATTCCACTTAGCACATTTAAGTACATTTACAAATTTAGCTGCTTCTGTGGAGAAAACTATATACGGCGAAATACTAGACAGCTCAACAGACGCATCATTACTGAGCATCTACCTTCATGATTCGGGAGAGGCGAAGTGAAATCTACACGAAGTTCTATTTTCTTTCATTTAATTGATAGCGGTCACCAAGTGGACAGAAATAGTGCCTTCACAGTTATCTACTGCATTCTATCGAGGCTTTCAAATGGAATTTGAACCCGCCGTCTACACATAATTTAAGCTATGCAAATTAATTCGAGAGAACAGTTCTAGTCTTTACACACAGCAAAAGAAGTTTGTTATACCTTTATCTCTCCCTTGTTTGCCAAGGTAAATTCTAATCAAAACCTTCCCATTCTTTCTTATTTTTCATTTCCTTCGTACTTTAATGACATGTATTCAAACTCTGATAACCTGTCCAATTTATCTTTCGTATTACGTAACTCTTAAGATTTGACATAAATTATTTATTGATTGAATTGTCTACATATACACACATATTACTACCTTCATTATTCGTATCGCCACCTGCGTAAACCTTGTTATCAACATTTTGTTATCATTATAATCATCATTATTAACTATGTTCAAAACATTTACCACATTAGAAGTTACTTGGCGGATGGTGACTAGTAATGGAATCCAGGATGCGCGTTCCATCTAATTTGGTACTCGTCAACTGGATGTACCTGCATTCCTCCGTGAGTGAGTGATGATGCTCCCACCGAGGCTCGAATGCAGTGCCCATAGTTACATCACCCACTGGGGAATGCAGGTATATCCAAAGGGTGACGAGTCCCAAATAGGACGAGATGCGCATCGTGGATTCCACTGCTTGCCATCATCCACCAAGTAACATCTAATTACATGCCTAGACATCGTCGAAGCATCTGCACAAGAAGCCGAATCGTCAACCTGAGACCGAGCACTTTTGGTCCAATCAATCGGAGGGGAAAATCTAAAACTGAATTAAATTTGCCACATTATCATTACTGTTTGATCTACAAACTCACCGTCACTGGTTAAAATTGTTATATATAAATCTATGTAAATTAGAGTAAAGCCTGAAGAGGATCTAACTGAAAACAATAATATTATTCTCTTATATGTCTTGTTCTAATATGAATAATGGGAATATTTAAAGATTCCACATTGTGTTGAACTTAATTTATTCTAATCCCTTTATTCCTTCCTTATCTAGGCATTCACGTGCTGTTTAATCTGACTGTAGATCGTTCGTCACACAGTGACAGTCTATCTGATGGCATTCAATCACAAGCACCTCACAGTTTGGGGTTTGTATATTATGTTCATTATTTTACATAATAATATAGTGCCGTACTTTAGAGAAATCCCGTATTTTGGGATTTTATGCACAACTCAGTTACTATTTTTGTTTTATTGCTTTCTTTCGTTCCTAGAGAAATATAGGGCTTCAGCCTCACATCTTCACTGAGTTCGGTTCTCCGCCAACGTTTTCATATGGCTCTGCATCTGCCCACATGCTTTCATCTCCTCTTCACATCACCTCCTCCTCACACTGACGTGACGACTAACCCGCCACCTTTCATTCGGGTTCCACTCAAGTGATATCCTATCCTGGCGTGTGATGTCAATTGATGGTTTGTCTTCTGAGAGTATGACCAATCCGCTTCAATTTCTTCCTGCATATTTGTTGCACAATTGATTCTTTCTGAGTTGGTTCGTTTCCAGAAATCCCTCACCAGTATACTGGTGATCTCTTCTGGCAGGCCTTCTGATCTTGAGTAGTATTGAGCGAAGACAGCTGTTGATGAAGGTTGAGTTGTATATATGCACAACTCAAACGTTTGGTTAATTTTTTATTCCTTCATTTTCCCAGTGGAACATAGAGCCATAATCACATCATATCAACTTGATATGATGATTATGAGCAATAGCTTATGCTCGAAATGTGGTCATCAGTTAATATTACTGTACAACAACACTGTGTGATTTATCAGATTAAAATCTCATCCATCATAATGGAGTTATGCTCTACCAGCACAGTGCCCAAATTTTTGGCAGCAGTGTTTAGTTTTACAGGATGGGGTTGCTAGCCTCATACCCAACCTCCCCTGTTTACCGGCTTTATTTCCAGTTTAGCGAGGTAAAATAATGCGCCGGATGGGGATCGAACCTCGGACCATGTACACGGTCGGCGAGATTCCTTATTGCAGCACCACTAACGCACCGGTTACCCGGTAGGACGCCAGTTTCGTTAATTAATCAATTGTAATTATTGTTGCGGACTCCTTAGAAGAAATCTACACTGGACTTATATACATATATATATATATATCCCCTGAGTTGGTAGAAGTTAGAATTCGATGGGCCAATGAATTCCATTCCTTTGGTCGACCTCATAACTTGAAGGTTGTCGATCCTATCCCCATTGAAGTGACTCACGCATACTCCTAAAGAGTCACAAACTAGGATGAAACAGCTGTCAATTAATCACTCTGCACATTTCAGAGGTTCTCTCCCTAAATTCACTCTGCGATCTAACTTGAACTCGCTGGTTAATATTCGATGCTGACATCCATCGGTTACAACTTCTCATGTGTTTGAGGACTTAAATAACTTCAAACTTCAATGAAAAAAGTTTAAATCATTTATCGAAACTTACAAAGCACTGTGATTCTTGTTTATGCAATAGAAGTGGTGAAATATACTTTGAAGGTTTCTTCTTCAAATATTCTCTATTCCCCAGGGGATTAGATTCATTACATGAGGTATTCAATAGATTGTCATTCCATATCCAATAGAGTGTACCGAATAAATCATTCAGTCCTGTAGCTTGATCGTTCATCTGTGGATTATTGAACACTCCATCAAGATAGTCAGCTTGTAGTGCAGATGGACAAATCAAGAAAGATTGATTTAGATGCTGATGGTTGATCTAACGGCGGTGTTGAAGTGTTTCCATGTGGATTTGGTTCACTGGCATTTGAAATTAATGGGGTGAGTAGTAGGCCAGATCGAGCAAACACCCATGCATAGTAAGCATATAGATCTAAGTATATAATTCATTTTAAAAAATCAATAAAATATTGATCAATTAAGTAGTAATGATAATGATACAATACAGATGAGTCGGGTACGTAGGGATTTGGTTAATTTACTCTTTGCCTTGTAGATGACTTTGAAGGCGGAGGCTATAGAGATCATTGGGTGGTCATTATCGACCAGATGTTCAATGATCGCGCTTCTTATTGCTCCACTTCCGTCTTTTCGTAACCATGCAGGATAGTGTTCTTGCACCGTCTTGGACAAAACTCGTGTCGTTTACAGCTGGGTACCCATTGGTCGAAAACGAAATCTGATCCAGGCGCTTGCCACTCGTATTCGGCGCATATGTAGCCCTGATACTGTGGAAGATGAGTTATACATCTTGAGGAAAATCTTAATAGAAAATGGATTTCCACCATGTTTTATAGATAAGAATATACAGTCAAATCCTAAAAAAAGTGACTTATCAACCGTACCCAAGAAAATACTGTACATGAGCTTGGAATTCAAAGTGGACTTGGCTTCCTATATCATGAAACGAAGGATATCACAGTCTCTGAAAAGAACATTCCCTGCTGCATCTCTGAGAATAGCCTTTACCAGTCGACCATTATTTTTCAATAATCTGAAGGATAAGATCCCGCTGTTGACCAACTCTATGTGTGTTTATCTATTCACCTGCTCGTATGGAGCTAGGTATATCGGTCGTTCGACACGAGTTTTGTCCAAGACGGTGCAAGAACCCTATCCTGCATGGTTACGGAAAGGTGGAAGTGGAGCAATAAGAAGCGCGATCATTGAACATCTGGTCGATAATGATCACCCAATGATCTCTATAGCCTCCGCCTTCAAAGTCATCTACAAGGCAAAGAGTAATTTATCCAAATGATACAATACTCGGATGATCTGATGATATGAGATGGTTGGAGGGAATCGGTCATAGGAAGCCTTGATTGAGTTAGGGGTTTCGTGCTAGTTGGCACTTAGCAGTCAACAATGTGTGTATCTGCAACCTTGAAGGAACAACTCATGTCCCTTCAACCATGTCATATCATCAAATCAAGATGCATTGTGATGGTGAGCTACCTAGAATGGTGGCCACATTGCAAACCTGACTAATAGAACTCAATCTGCACTGAAAGAAGGACTAGACACATCGCGCTAGTTACTAGTGTCCGATCAAAGTACTCTGATAATCTGACTAATGTCATATAAACTCGAAGAAGTATACGCGAAAACCAATAACTTGGCACTAAAGAGACAGAGAAGGACAGGATTTCAAGTGAACATGGAGAAGACAAAGGTGTCGAAGATACCTAACCATCAGCCAGGATAAGCATCAGTTAATATCTACAGGTGGTTGACTGGGTTATACGTCAGACTGTGCTTGGGAGTGAAAAGACAGGAATACGTTGGACTGACCAATAAGAAGATTCTAGAAGATCTTGATTTCGCGCGTGGATTATTTGTTTTTAATATCACACAAACTAAAAGACTTGCAAGCAGGCGAAAACCAACAAACCGGTTGAAGAAGCTGGTAGGCAGCGAAGACAGGACTCCAGGTGAACATCGAGAAGACGGAGATGATGAAGATAACCAACCAACCAACCAACCAACAGTAATAGCAACAACAACATCAACCAGCCGGCACCAATCACCATCAATGGGAGAGATTTGACAGAGGTTACTTCCTTCACTTATCTTCCTGGCCAGGAAGCAGGGCTTCAACCATAGGTACAAGGCACGGATGAAAATGTCAAAGCTGGCTAGATAGTATCGGAAAGGCAAGATACACCTTCATCCACCTGAAACCAGTTTGGAAACCTTCTGTACTAACTAGGCAAGCATAAAAAACAAGATTCGGATTCTGCTCAGCACAAATGTGAAGTCAGTCAGTCACCGCTTTGATACGGGTCAGAAACTTGAGCTGCGCGCCCATCACGAACAGGACTTCCAACAGGCTAATGCAGACTTTCATCAACAGCTGCCACCTTCACCGGCTGGTGTTCCATACTGAAGATCAAATGGCCAGCCTGCTGGCCAGAAAGAATTAGTAACAAGAATCTTTCTGTGAGAACAAATCAACCAAGAGCTGATTGCTCCACAAATATGTAGAAGAAAATGGAGATGGAACGGGCATACGCCACTAAGGAAGTCGTCGAAAGACACTGGGCGGAATGCAGGGAGTCGTTGAAGTGGAATCCCTATGGGGTGTGACGAGTGGACCGTTGGTGCAAAGGTGATATGGAGGAGATCGTGTGAGTTGGTGGAGGAGGAGATGATAGATAAGCGTCAGCCGTGGACCCACTTGAAGAGGACAGCAGAGAATAGAACAAAGTGGAGATGTGTTGTTGAAGCCCTCCCTATTTTCCACTTGGAACTCAAGGGAGTAATAATAATAATAATAGTGTATAATTTTACTTACCTTCTGTATTCAATGAGTTGGCATCAACTTCTTGATCAGATTTTACGTTGTATATCTAATTTTGTTGTATAGAGTAAACAAAGAAAGTGGGGAAAACAGATCAAAATGATAAAAGCCGAGATCAGACAAACAAGTTTATACAAATAAAAAAATTTACAGAACACTACAGAAGTATTACAAAACCTCAGTTCTGCTCATTCTTTACTATAACTATGTTTTGAGGAGACTAAAACCTATTCAAATCAGTCGAAAGCAGATTTGACCAATTACTCTATTCAGCTTTTGCCATCATTGGATTGGATAAATTTCGTATCACGCCTCTTCAGCCTTACGCACTCAGTGATATTACTTATTTAGTAGTGCATATAAATTTGATGTATTTATTTTTATTCTTTTAAGTTCCCGGCGGAACATAGGGCTTCAAGCTAGAGGCCTGAAGTTTCAGTAGAAGTGGTTGCTAGCCTCACACCTAACCTTCACTCTTTACCAGTTTTTATCACTGGCTTAGCGAGGTTTGGTAGTGCGTCTGCTGGAGATAGAGCCTCTAACCACCTTCGTGGTTGGCAAGCGTTCTACCTCTGTGCCACCGATGCACTAGAGACAGCAGTGACAATCAGGGAGAACTAGACGTTCGTTTCGTCCTAGTTTGTGACTCTTTAGAAGTATACACTCATAGCTACACTAAGGATCGAGTCCAGACAGGATCATTTAGTCATTTGGTTCGGAATAGAATGACCAGTGAATTCCAGTCCATGGTGAAGTTAAGGTATCTTAGGCAAAGCCAAGGTCTGTCAAAAGTTGACTCTCAATAATCAATCAGATTCAAGAAAGGCTATGAAAGGTCAATCCAAACCATATTATACCTGTCTTTTTGGATTTGCCGAGGATAGATACAGTATTCTGCTTATTCCTTAAGTAATGTTGAGTAGGGTTATGGTTTTTTAAGATTAAAGTTAGGCTCTAGGGTTAAGGTTTGGACAAGGGGCTAGGACAACGGTCAGAGTTAGAGGTATGTTAAAGAACAGTGTCCGAAATATCAATTTATCTGAAAGTACCATTAAACTATAGTCACTTGGATGAATACATCCATCGTGAATGTTATGATTTCTCTATCGATTATCTGAGTAGTGACGGGGAGACATTCTTATACCAGTAAGCGACACTTATACAGTCTAATATCAAGTGTGCAATGATGCATTTTTCAACAATTATGCTACTTTTTTGAATCTCAATTCTGATTGGTTGTTCAAGGGATCACTGGGAGTTTGACTACGATAGTTTAACTTCGCATTTAGTCTTCAATTAAGTTAATTAATGCATTTCAGAGTCGAACTCAAATCCCAGTTTTGTTATCAATGGTTGTATGGCAAATTTGGGGACGTCTTACTGGACTGCCCATACTCTGAGGAAACCATCAAGATACATTGAAAAAAATGGTCTTTGAGTGGAACAATAGTAAACACTCAATGCGGAATAGATTACGTCAGGCAGGGATTGGACTCAATGCCTAGCAGTGTGATAACTGCTCGAGCACTTATCTCTCCCCTATAGAACAATAAGTCGTTTACAAACCATTTAGTAGCCTCACGCTCATACCACATTTAGATTTCGTGTCAACTTCTACACTTTTGAAATCCGGAGCATCGTTTATGGTCATTGTTCTGGCGTAACATCAGACTTAGTGGGCCTAGCCGAACACAAGGTCCAGTCTAGACACTAAAAGGAATACGTAAGCTTATCCAGCCACGTGTCGGATACGGAATGTAACGTTGCAAATATGGACGGGATTCAGACTTAGATGCGTTCAGTCTTGATCCCTCAGATGGTAGTTTCGCACCACTGGCCTTTCGACCAACCACACATACCAATTGTCTGAACCTACAGTTCCTCTTGAACTAAACAGAATTACCATAGCAATGTCCAAATTGTACTTCACTGATTACTGTACTCATAACATGGGTAAAACCAAAATGCCTCAGGACGGTCTAAACCCCCAGCTCACGTTCCCTACTATTGGGTGAACAATTCAACGCTTGGTGAATTCTACTTCGCAATGATAGGAAAAGCCGACATCGAAAGATAAAAAAGGTGGCAATATTAACAAGTTTGCTATGTATACCTAATTTTGTCTAATTTTGACTAAAACCTTAAGACAACTATTTTAAGGAGTTATCGCGCGCTGATATGAGCTCTTTGTTTTTCCCTCTCTTTGTATTGCTGGATTCCTATTGGATGTTAACACTTCAAATTCATCACTGAATTGTTGCATTTTCAAGGTCATTCCAACTGCATACATACCGAGTATCTGTCTAACATTTAGCCTGTTGCTTGAGACAGTAAAAGCACCCTTAACGACGCCCAGTGTTTCCTTATGTCTTTGCGTGGCAGAGGTATTATTGTTGTTTTGTTGTTGACCTAGCCAAGTTAAACTTTAAGCACCACTAACTACCAAATGGAGTTCGTCTGCACCAAAGACCTGGAAACGCTCACTGATCAAGTCAGTGAAACCTGGCGAATAATGCTGTCATCATCAATAAAATATGCTCATCGAAGTCTTAAGCTATTAAATGGGCTATCTGGGAAGTTTCAGCTTAGATTTGGGAAAGATTAAGTTACGCTTTAAGCCCAGGAAAAGTTAGGGTTAGGTTAACCTAATTAAGGCGAAATTAGGGTTGCTCCGAGTTATACTACAGTTAATTGAGGGATATTTTCACGTTAGAGTTAGGTTCAGGAAAGATTAGGGTTATTGTCAGGGTTAGAAGACCTAAATAATTCCATGCATAGAATGTGGTTAAATTACTCTGTTGATATAAGAATAGTACCTGTGCACTGTGGTAGCAGAGTATAATTCCACAGTGTTATACAGGGATATTTACTGATGACCACGTTTCGAGCACAATTTATTGCTCAGTAAATATTACTGTATTACACTGTGAGACTTTATCAAAATACATTTTAGCCACAATGGAATTAGACTCTGTTGATACTCAAACCTAAAACTGAGAGCTACTGTTATCACATGTGAGAGGAAGGTATCCTCTGTAACACTTTTCCACAGTTTTTGAGCAATTTTTTCATAAATATGTGTATTGCATACACAAAATTGCATCCTTAACGTGACTGGTGTGTTAAACGTCATTCACTGACTGGTAGTTAGTGGTGCTTAAAGTTTAACTTTGCCGTTAACGTGCAATCAGGATAGACTGGCTAGCGCATTAAGTTAATATTCGCTCATGGTCTATGAGGTCACAGTTCCGGTCATAAAAATGTTCTATTATTTACACTAATCTGTCCAAGTTTCCTCTGAAGCACTATTTAACTGTCACGCAACTACATTCAACTGATGAGGCCAACATGTTACGAAACATACATTTTTATCATCATAATACTACATTTATTACCCTCCCCCCACCACCACATGAGAAGAAGCGTACTGAAAATGTGACCTTGAATAAAGGCTACATAGTCAACTGATTGGCGGTAATGTATCAGTAAAAACTTAAATCCACCAATCAGAGAACTCCTAGGTGACCTTCAAGAGTGTATTCATCCTATTGGTAGTCTACGCAATAATATGTAACAATAAGGCAATTAAAACAGGTGACTTACATTTTTTCGTATAGAATTAAATATACAGACGAGGTAATTCATCTTACGATTGACTGAATAGGTGTTCTCCAAACGTGAATATGCACTGGTAACATATTGTATCAAGGATTCTTTCGGCGGTGCAACGGACGCCTAGTTTTATGCATTATTATAAAAAAGAAAGAGAGATCAAAGTAAACTAGTTAATCAATACTGTAATAATTTGAAAAGATTGAATTCGTGTAGAATATTGACAATGTCTCAATAGAATTTGAACAAATTTCAACATTATAATAAATGTTGTTTTTTGTATTTCTAAATGAATGAAAAACAAAACAAAAAGCTGTAGTGGACTGGACTGTAAGGTAGGAGAAGACAGTAATACGTTGAACCGATAAGAAGACTCTGGAAAATCTGAATTTTGCGCGTGGATGATTTATGTTTAATATAATACAAACTCGAAGATCTACAGGCAAAAACCACCAAACTTGTTGGAGAAGCATCGAAGGCGGGACTCCAGGTGAGCATAGAGAGGATGGAGGTAATGAAGATAACCAACAACAAAAACAACCAGCACCAATTACCATCGAGCGGAGAAACTGGAAAGAGGTGACCACCTCCACTTCTCTAATAAGACAGCATAGTCTCAATGACAGGCGACAGCATCGAAGAGGATTTCAAAACCAGCTGGAACAGGAAAGTTGAGGTAAGACTTCGTCATTCTGAAATCAGCCTGAAAACCTTGTCTGCCCTCAGCACGAAGAACAGGACTTTAAACACAAATATTAAGTCATTCAGTGATTCTACCTGGGTCATAAATTTGGCACGTGCTTCACCGAAATCATTTCCAATCATTTCCTCCAGACTTTTATCAACAGCTGCCTTCGCTGGGCCCATACTGAAGGTCAAATGACCAGTCAGACAGATCTAGTAACAACAAACTCTGGTAACAAACCAACGGAGAACCTATTACTCAGCAAGTATACAGAAGATAAATGACGATGGATTGGATGTACATGCTGAGGAGACCGTTGAATGACATCAAATATTCCAGGAAGATCCTCGAACTGGACCTGAATGCGAAACGACATTTTATGCGTATGTGTTGATGAAGCCTTATGCTACAATCGGAACCCAAGGGAATAATAATAGCAGTAATTTGACAGCTGCTTCATCTTAGTTTGAGGCCCCGCAGAAGTAGGCGAACCGCTGGGATGCAAACCCAGGGGTTTCAGAGGACGAATTAAGCTCTTTCAGAACACTCAACCATTGGGACTCAACCTAATAGCCAGTTCATGGATTCCAATTTCTACCAGCTCATAATTTTTGGCGAGACTGACATCAATCCGTTATCAAAATTAAAACAAATCAAACCCCTCTACAAACTAACGCCTAAAAATTAATCTGACGGTCGCTAATGAGCGATTGGCCACAGTGTACTGTGAGATGTCTGAAAGAGGAAATTGGTAGACAGCGATTTACGTCAATTTTCACGTCTCAAATCTTGGTCATGAGCAAAAAGCAAGAATAAAGACTAACTCAGCAATCAATCACAGAACACTTTGCGTGGGTGGATACGATTCCCAGATTTATGGTCTGACCTTGAAAGAAACGGCCACAAGGAGATGACAGAATAACCTTTAGCAGGAAAACAACCAATCAGAAGACGTTAATTCTCTGCAAGCAATAACCTATAATAATGTACATAAAAATCTATAAATATCTCCTGATTTTCTCAATAAACGATCTGTTGCCTAGCCCTTGTCTTCTGTTGTTACAACAGAAGAAAAATACCTAGGGTTTTATTGAGAAGTCCTAATTAGTGGAATCCACCAAGTTCAAGAATATTAGAGGAAATACTCGCCAATAACATTACTTGGTGATTGCACTGAAATTGCGAATTGACACAAGTTTAAATTTACGGATCACTGGTATGGTAAAGTTTTTCTGCTTCATTGTCCAGGCATGTAGTCTTCTAAATAATTGCTTCTAGTTCTACCGCATCAGACAGATGTAAGGAGAGAGTTGTGAATGGAGAGGATTCTCAGGGTCCATCAAGATAATTTCTTGCATGAGTCCATGTGTCTACCTACAATAGTTGTGGTGAGAGCTGGCTATTAGCCAAAGTTCGTAGACAGTAATTGACGTCAATGTTTATGTCCCCAATATATTGGTGGTGAGAAAATGATGAGAACAAAGGCTTTGCGTAGGCGGACACAGTTAGCACATGGATGGATGATCTGACACAGCCACAAAGAGATGCAAGGTTAACTTCTGTGAGAAACAACCAATCAAAAGACTGTATTTTCTACTAACAATAATCTACAATAATGTACATTAAAATCTATAAATATGTGTTGATTTTCCTTAATAAACGATCTGTCGCCTGACCCTTGTCTTCTGTTGTTACAAAGTATTAATGAATTGGTTTAGCGACACTCCGATTCTCCCTACTGACAGCTTTTAACACCCTTCTCAGGGTGTAAGAAAGTCTTTCATAAGTAGTCTAGGAAAGATTAAGGTGGTGGCAGGTGGGGGGCAACAGTAGAGAAGAATTGATATTATACAGAGTGAATTAACAAACAGTAAAAGTAGAGACTGACTGAGGCATACTAGATTGTCTCAACTTCGTTAAGTAGAACATTAATCGAAACATCTCCCTATAAATTGACAGGATCTGAGAAAATTAGGAAAGATCAGAGGAAAGACATAATCCAAGGTGTATTTACCAACATTCCACTTAGAAGTTAATTAATTGGTGGATGTTGACTAGCAGTGGAATCCAGGACAACGCACATTTCATCCTATTTGGAACTCGTCAGGTAACTACTGGATCTACCTGGATCCAGTAGTGAGTGATAATGTTCCCACATGTCAACCTGACACCAAGCACTTCGGTCCAGGCAATTCAATCGACAGGAAAATCTAAAGCTGAATTAAACATTCGACTTAGTTTCAACTTCATTGCCCGCTATGATACAAGAATCATGACAGCGAACCAATTCCCCTGAAAGTCGCACGCGGGCTTGCGTGTCTCCAAGTGAAATTACCAACCTGAGTGACATTTGGAAGGATTTAGCCTAAAACTATTTATTGAAAAGGATCACTCGGAAATATACCGAATGAAACTACCTTTCTCTCTTATCTAGTCTAATCAAGAACAGCAGCAACAACAACAAAAACAACGAGGAACTAGATTAAGAAATGAAAAAAAACAGCAAGGAAAAGAAATTATTTTTGAAGAAAATAAATCAATAATGGAAAATGTTAAACAGTCAGTGATTTATAGACTTCATTAAACAAAACAATAGGGATTAGATTCTTAGTTACCTGTGTTAAAGTGCATAGAAACTAAATTGAAAATAGGAAAGAAATGAGAAAGGTGCACTCCATCTTTCATCTTTCTTTGAATAGATTTATGAATATGATTACAATTATTATTATTAATGCTGGGTGGTGGGTGATAGCATAGGGGTGGGGCATGAACGCACGCACAAACACACATTCAATATACACTGAACTTTATTCATGAGATTGGAACATTGTTCATCAACTGGTTCGTGAACACTATTCATCAACGGATCAGAGAAGATCAGTAATAAATGCTTGTGGAAAAATCTAAAATGTACCCTGTTTTCTTTATGGTATTTCATCTTTAAATGTGAATTGTTTGTTTCAACACAACGTTTTTCTTTTGTATTTTCCCTTTTATTTGTTTGGTTCTATTTTTCTGATGTTTCACTTATTGTTTTCACTAGGAGATTTTGGGTTTTATTTTCACTTGTAGGGTTCATTATTGAACTGTGAACAATGAGAGAATCTTCAACACTGAGCTGTCATCTGAAGTGGTGACGACTAGTGGTGAACGTCAGGGATGTCCATTATCCCAATTTCTATTCAATTTCGTCATAGATGTACTAGTGTATTTAACCCTAACTCACTTCAGAGACTCAGGGATTGACGACTTGTTACCAGGGAATAATCTCGTTGACTTAGAATATGCATAAGGATGATATAGTCCTTCTAGGCGAGGACGCTGACAAAATGCAGAGTCTACTGAACACCTTAAGCTGCAATCTACGAATGTTTGGCATACGATTTACTCGTGCTGTCAAAAGTAAAATGATGCTACAGGACTGAACTACACTAACTCCTAGATTAGAAATAGGGAGTGAAGTGGTAGAGCACGTTCACTGCTTCCCTTATTTGGGAAATACCATCAGCCAGTGCTAACGGGTTGATCTCTGACGAAATCTCAACACAGATATAGAGGGCTAGTTTCGCATATGCCAGTTTACGCCGTCTCTAGCTTAGTAGACGTGATATCCGGCTGGCTATCGACCAAAGGGCGTGTGTACTGCTCATCAGTCCGCTCCGTCCTCCTTTATGGCTGTGAGACATGGCCATTGAGAGTGGAAGACATGAAAAGCCTGGCTGCCTAGCTGTCTTTGATCATAGGTGTCTGCGTTCTATCTCCCGTGTGAAGTGGTATACTAGGGTGAGCGATACTGAGGTTAGGCTTTGATCGAGTGCTAGGTAAGGAGGGGAAATCAGTCGACGAGACTGTGAAATTACATTGACTGAGATGGTAAGAATGTGTGTTACGTATGCCTAGTCATCGCCTTCCTCGACTGACGGGCAATGTTAGCTGATATAGGGTCAGGCTGGAAAAGAGCTAGCGGCGGTCAAACCAAAACATGGCTTCATCAGTCAATGAAATCTACAACAGTTAGTTTAAGCCGGTCACGTAGGGAGGTGTGGACTTCCTGACTGGTTGTGGTCCTCGGGACGGTAAACACCAATGACGGCTGGAAACAATTGGTGATATGGCTCAAAATCCTCGTTCTCAATGGCTGGTGAAGATGCATCCACTCCTTGTGACTTATGATTTCTTTCGTTATTACTATTCCTTTGTCTCACACCTCTGTTTACCGTGTCTAATATGCATTTCTCCTACTTTCTTCTCATGCTTTGTGTGCTACATGGAAGGAGTGTGGCGACTTGAACTGCCGCACATATGTGCAAAGTTGTATGTCGAAAACAGACAGACAGACAACACTGAGCGCCTTTGACGCTAGGGGCATTCACGGCACAACATCAGCCTGTTAACTAATTAGCCTTGTAGATTGGTAAGAGAATGACTGATGGATTAAAAGAACTTAGTTGATAGTAGACAGATGATTCGATATATTACTGATTCGTTAAACAAGTAGTTGAACAGTATTCAAAAGTGATCGAAATACTGAACGGGTATTTCACTTGCTTGGAGCTAAGCACATTAGTGATGTGGGGGGATTTCATCACTCGAACTATATAAATTACAATTTGTGAAATTGATATGAGGTATTACCAATTCCTTTGAGGATTTCATCATTAGCTGACGTTAGTTAGAGAACCATTGGAAAACCAGGCAGGAAGTACTGGACAGCTGTTTCGTCAGCCTAGTTTGGTACTCTTCAACAGTACGCGCCCACCACCAGGGATTCGAACCCAGGACCTCCTGGTTACAAGGTCATAGAGCTCGTAGAAAATTAGGCAGCCACTGAGACCCGATTCGTCTAAGCTGAGTAAGAACTTTCTATACCAATAATGAGCTCGACGCCAAACAAGCAAAACAGCCATTCGGTGTTTAGATTGCCTCGATCTAGCTGGTTAGCAAGCACTACTAGTTGATATTTGAGTAGTATACAAGTACTCAGTTCAGTCTATCAGTAGTATACATGGTTTTATGAAAATATGTTTGCTTACTTGATTACCATTTATGGTATCAAGTAGACAGCATATTGTCATCTGAATTTCGCCATTCCAACTTTGAAAAAATTGCAAATGGCTAACTCAGTTTAGAATTCTCAACGTGTGGTTTCTGATTTCTCTGCCTGATGAGATTGTTGCCGAGCAATAATGAAGCGACCCTAGCTAGCTAAGACGAAATGACTGTGTTCTAAGCTAAGTGTTTAATCAACAATTTTCCAAATCATGTCAGTTCTTGATGAAGTTCATCCTGAAACCGAAGAATTATATTCACCGGGATTATAATCAGTGCAAATTCTCAACAAGGAACCCCGGCAGTGAGAGAATCAGACAACAGTGTATTGCCTAGTAAATATGCAGAAGGGAAGAATTGACCATATTCTGTGAAGCAACCTTCAAGTGACGTCAGACATCAGCCAAATAGTGGAACCGTAACAAGAATCGACTACTTCGGAGTAGGTTCGAGGGTGATATGGAGGGAATCATGTGTGGAGGTCATAAAATATTGCAGTCACTCGTGGATTCACGTCAGAAGGACGACAAATAACTGAGATTTACAGCACAAGGCACAAGAAACAAGATCCCAATACTTACGGAAATTATTCTTAAGTTATTGCTTCTGTACTATTCGTAAGCTTGGTGCCTCATATAATGTACTTCGAACAGGTTACTGAAGATGATATTAGATGGTTGGAGGCAATCGGCCACAGAAAGCTTTGCTAGTTGGCACTCACCAGTCAGCAAGGCCTATCTGCAACCTTGAAGGAACTCACATCCCGTCTGAGATTCGAACCCGCATCCTCCAGTGCTGCAGTCAGAGACGATTGCCTTCAACCATCTAATATCATAAAATCAATTGACATCGTGATGGTGAGCTACCTAGAATGTTTAGCCACATTGAAAACTTGACTGGCTGATAGAATTTAGTCTGCACCAAAGAAAGGACTAGACACATCACACTAGTTACTAGTGTCCAATCAAAGGTTACTGAAGACTTCCATCGAAAAGTGTCCTCACTACCTCAATCAATATTAAAGATCAGATAGTCGATCAGAAAGGATGAGCAACAAGGACCACCTTCAGGCAACAAAGCAACCAAGTACGTATTACCCGGAAATTATGCCGGTAGAAATGCAGATGGATTAGAAATAGGTGCTAAGTAGAATGTTGAGTGAAATCATGCGCCAGCCGGGCTCTCAAGTGAAACCCAAATGTGAAGCGACAAGTTTGGGCACAGCTGGTAGGAAAGACGATATCTGGAGTGTCATCGAGTCACTTGGAGATGTGTCAGTTAGGCCTTCTATTTCACTTGAAATGCAAGCGATGATTAATAATAGTAATAATAATGTTTTACAATATGTCAATAACTTACCTGTATTCCAAGATCAGACGAATGAGTTTGTGGATCGCATAACATTTGAACTTTGATCAAGAGATTAGTAAAGTCGGTATTTCTTTTAATTTTCAAATTCAAACAAAAGAGAGAGACAAAAATACGGCCGATTAGACAAGCAAACTACATCAGAATAAAACTTACTACTAGACAGAAAAAACAAAATAAAAAAACACAAAAGGAAGACAAATCTAAGTCGGTAAACAAAAATTTCAAAGTTGTCGATGCGGTTGAACACCACATGTGTTAAGCCTAACATAAAAAAACACCTGTTCCGCTGCGAATACTTTTGTTTATCTGGCTCTATGCATGGCTGTTTTTCAAAAGGAATGTTTCTTAAGAGCTGGTTTGTGGGAATTTGATTTTTGTTTGAATTTTGATCACAGATTGGAAAACCAGTTGGGGGAGGGGGAGTACTGGACAGTTGTTTCGTCTGGGTTCGTGATTCATCAGAGGCACACATTCACCATTGGGGTTCGAACCTAGGAGCTTCCAGTTAAAAAGCAAGCTAGCTCGTAGACCCTTCAACCACTGGCGCCCGATTGAACGGTCAGCGCATGAATTCTAACTTCTACCTATTCGTGATCGTTTTAGCCCGACCGGCACCAGCCAGTGAATATCACTGACGAATATTTCCTCTCACACCTGACTTGATGGACCTCACTTGTCACAATGAGTCCAAGACTAGACCGAACAGCTGCTCAGTACTCAGTGGCTTTCAACGGTTCTCAAAGTTAAAACAGTCCACGGTTAAAGATGAAGGAAATATTATTGCTTATCAGGCAGACTGTTTAAGTGTGACTTCAACCTCTCTTCCCTTACAAGTTAGATTACAAAATGAAATCAGTTAGAGAACCACTGAAAACCAGGGAATGAGTATCAGACAACTGTTTCACCTTAATAATTCAGGAGAACGCATCCACTGTTTCATGAAGGATAACACGCAAGATCTTCAGGTTACAAGACGAGTCGGTTAACTACTGGGATGGAGACTGATGTCACATGAATTCTGTCTTCACCTAATTCTAACTGTCGCTAATTTTCTCTAAAGTTTATGTCAGTTTAAACAGAAAAAAACACACATGAACTACTAAACTTTTGTCAGAAATTTCAAAAAATTCCTCACACTCATAGACTTCAACAAAAGGAATATTCATTTGCATTTAGGTATCTTTGTATAAAGAAATTGTATACACCTCATCTTGAACGCACCATTTGCACAGGTCTTCCGCGTTGCCCTTCTTCTGGCCTTCCTTCATATTGTGTTTCTTTGTGTTCCTTTCACGCGTCCCATGTATCTCCGCAACTCTGTATCGTCATTTGCTTTCGCTGACATCGAATCTATCACCCTACTATTTGTTGTTTTTATGCCGGCGGATTAATGTCTCTTTATATATGTATATACTACTGCTAAATCTTATCAGTAGCACACGCCAAATTACAACCATCTGTTGTCATTATGAAGTATCATCGGGTGTGAACCCGACAAAACGAACCCTACTGGCGACGGCTTCTTGTTAGATCTTAAGGACATTCATCCTGAAGACAGTCACTAATGCGTAGAATACTAATATTCAGAAAATGAATTTCTAGGGACATGATTCGGAGACTTTCAAGGTAAAACAAAGCATCTGTTCAGTGCCTCGTAATTTTCAAAGATTCTTTTTTTTTGACTGATGTCCACCTGTGACGAAATTTACAGTAAAATTCATCAAATCTTGAAGCAGTTATCATCTAAATAAGGCATTTAGGCCTACGAATTATTTTCTTCGCAGATATTCCCCCCTTCCCCTAGATGAAATAATATTGTGATCTCTAGTTAAAGAACCATTGAAAGCCAGAAAGTAGTAAGAGAACAGTTAAGCATTGTTTCGAGACACTCTTTAGTACTGCACATCCGTCAACCTATGGGAGATCAGACACAGAACTTCCATGTTACGAGGTGAGCCCGCTGAGCTTTCAGTCACTGGAATGAAATTCAACGGCTCGTAAACTCATACTTCAAAATTAATCGAATATTCACTGATGACTAGTAGCTACATGATGAACTTGTCTGAAGTTTTAATGAAAATTCGACACCACTGATATGAAAAGACTGCAAAGATAACCAACAGGCAACTTAAGGAATCAGTGCCTACGAAATTCCCTGTACATCAAACGCTATGTTCGTCAGATGAGTCAAAAGTTGACACATACCCCACCTTCATTTAGGCTCCAACTACCTTATCAGGTACATCAGAAGAACAGTAAGAATGACTTATCTTTGACCTCCTGAATACATTCAGAAAAGGTATACAATTAAGTGGTAGTAAATCTTTGAGGAACATTATCATGAGACAATTGATTGGCACAAGACATCAGGTAGACGTCTTGAATTCCTTCAAAGTAATAAACAAACACGCAGTCTGAGTAGTTATGATATCCACCTGAAACCGCAGAAAAATTCTTCTTCAAACTGTATCCAATTTGCAAGGTGTGACAAGATGAGAAAAATACAAATCGCAGTAAAGTTCTCATAATTATTGTTTTTCCAGTTTGACTACGGATTGATATCAGTTACAGAACCATTGAAAACCAACCAGAAAGGAATGCACAGCCATCTGTTTTGACCTAGCTTTGAATTCTACATAAGTACGCACCCGCTGAGATTCGAGACCATGACCTTCCGGATACAAGGCAAGCTCATTCACCATTCAGCCACTGGGACCCAATTCAACGGCTAACAAATTCTAACTTCTACCAGTTCGTGATTTATTATTTTTTTCATTATAACTTGATTCCACACAGTATTTTTGGTACTAGTATGGAATTTCAAGCATATGATATCGGTAGCCCAAATTTTGCAGGCCGACCATTGATATCAATCAGGTGTGCGTCGGTCGGGGATCGAACTTCGGATCATATGCATGGTTGGCAAGCGTGCTAACTGCTGTGCCAACGACGTGACCACTAACCAGTGTCATCAGTGGAAACTCCATTCTCACACTTGAGTGGATGGACTTCACTGATCACGACTTCCCACTAGAACTACAGGAAACTCTGTCCTGTAGCAAGTCATTAGCGAGCATAATTATTGTGTATAGAATTATCTCCAGGAAAATGAAGATGGAGTTAATGAACACGTTCCTACTGTTAGGCTTGCAGAGTCTTTTCTCTGGAATATCTCGTCTTATGTTTATGTGCAGATGGCTATTTTTCAAGTTAAGAAAGTGTAGCCCACTTTTAGTGTTTCTTCAATGGCGGTTTTATCCATTGTTTTTTTATTCCTTCACGTTCCCAGTGGAACACAGGGCTTCAAGCTAGAGGCTTGAAGTTTCTTTAGCAGTGTTTATGTTTACAGGGTGAGGTTGCTAGCCTCATGCCCAACCTTTCCCCTTTACCAGCTTTATTTCTAGCTTAGCGAGGTAGAGGAGTGTGTCGGTGGCCGGGGATCGAACTCCAGACCATGTGCATGGTCGGCGAGCATCCTAACCTCTATGCCACCGACGCACGGTTTTATCCATTACACATATATTATCATGAACGTCTCTGACTTCAACAATGCATTACCCGGGCTCGATTCTCAGAAGGGATATAGGTTATTTCATTGCTGCAGACACACCCTCCTGACTAGTACCACTAAGCACGAAAACTAGGTCCAGAAAGGGCTATCTACTGACTGCCTCCAACTATCTAGCATATACTACTTCTATCTGTTTATAAGTAGTATATGACGAATCAATGTAAAATAAACTTAAACATTTATATCAATATAGCACTTACTTCACTTGTTCTTGTTTCAGTAATTTGATAACATGTGAATGTAAAGGTTTAAGGATAAATCGTTGTAACGCTGATTCCAAATGAAAACCAACATTTACATAACCAAATTGATTCAGCTAATTACGGGGAAAATAAAGTAAAATAAAAACACTGGCAAATGAAGTATCAAAGAAACAAATATTTTAGATTTTCCAGTTACTGATTTGCAAAGAGTTTATCATTATCAGGCCAGATCACGAAGACATATTACTAGTGAGTTACTAAGGGATAAAGTGTTTGAAGTTCTCGTGGAAATTCATGAGCAGTGGAGTGCACCAAGTCAAGTGTGAAGACAAATACTTGCCGGTGACATTAGACGGATGGTGGCAGAGGCTTGGATTCTGTGCTCATGACTGGACAATCAGCAGCTTGGCTTCGTACCTTGAAGGTCCTAGGTTCTATCTCTTGTGAAATGACAGGTGTATGCTGCTGATGAATCTCGAGACAAGACAAAACAGTGGTCCGATGCTTTTATTCCTCAGTTTTTCCCAGATAGTCGATCCTAATCTGGATGGAAGAACATGTCTGGGGCTGGATACTACTGACTGAATAGTGTGAGTAGTTAGTTGTACACCACTCAAAACAACCATTAGTGCTAGTTAGCCAATCAGATCGGGATAATTTTAACACTGGAAGACCGTTCTGTTCGCTCGGGACCGAGATGATCACAGACTTTCGCGGTTTGACTTAATGTTCAGACAGCCGAATCAACCGCAACGACTCGAGTTCTTGCTGCCTTTTTTGGAGAAACGGTGTGAACTGTTTTGGTTCTTTTAGCCGAGTGAAAACCAGGTACACCGATGACGATCTTTACCTCAAACCAGAAAAACAGCCCTCTGATGTTTGCATAACTTTAACTGTCTATCTAGCAAGCACGATCGATTGGTGTGGATGGCACTCCACTACTCATCTTAATTATGCAGTAGTACGTGGTGTCGTGGATTTGTGCTTTGTTTCTTGATTACCGTTTATATAGTATGAAAGAGATCAGACCTTGCGATGTGAATTAACTGCAGTTCCCAAAGAAAATGGTTGTGAAATTCGACTGAATAAAGACCAAGTTACTGAACTTTTATTGGCACCTCCTAGTCAGGCAAAATGCAATCTTCATAACTTAAAATTGTAATTTTTTGACTCAGTCGTAATATCGTCGTGTGTTGAAGTATCCGTTAGAATAAATCCAAAGTCAGTATTATCTTGCCTGCTTTAAATGGCAAAACGGATCAGGTCGTCGCGTAATCTATCTATGGGATATTTTAGAAGTACAAGAATATATGGTAGTTATCTCCTTAATGTAGGATTTTCTGGGATCAATATACTTTCCGGAATAATATTGATTTTTAGAATATAAAATTTGATATTAATAATAATACGAGTATTCGCAAGTATTGGTTTTTGTAGGTATTTTGTTTGATTGGTCATAGGATTTCACCATGACCTGATATCATCAGTTAGAGAACCCCTGGAAAACCTGCAGGGAGTACTGGACAGCTGTTCCGTCCTAATTTGGGACACCCACCGAGGCTAGAACTAGGACAGGCCAAGTTAAACTTTAAGCACCACTAACTACCAATGGAGTGTGACTGCACCAATCACCTTGAAACGCTCATTGAGCAAGTCAATGAAACCTGACGAACAATGTTATCATCATCAATACAATATGCTCAACGAAGTATTACGCTATTACACTGGATATCTAGCAAGTTTCAGCTTAGCCTTGGGAAAGATTAAGTTACGCTTTAAGCCCAGGAAAAGTTAGGGTTAGGTTAACCTAATTAAGGCGAAATTAGGGTTGCTCCGAGTTATACTACAGTTAATTGAGGGATATTTTCACGTTACGGTTAGGTTCAGGAAAGGTTAGGGTTACTGTCAGGGTTAGAAGACCTAAATAATTCCATGCATAGAATGTGGTTAAATTACTCTGTTGATATAAGAATAGTACCTGTGCACTGTGGTAGCAGAGTATAATTCCACAGTGTTATACAGTGATATTTACTGATGACCACGTTTCGAGCACAATTTATTGCTCAGTAAATATTACTGTATTACACTGTGAGACTTTATCAAAATACATTTTAGCCACAATGGAATTAGACTCTGTTGATACTCAAACCTAAAAACTGAGAGCTACTGTTATCACATGTGAGAGAAAGGTATCCTCTGTAACGCATTGCGACAGTATTTATGAATTTTTTTTCACAAATATATGTGTAATTCATACACAAAAATGCCTCCTTCACGTGATTGGTGTGTTTGAGGCCATTTGCTGATCGGTAGTTAATGGTGCTTCAAGTTTAACTTTGCCCTAGGACGAAACAGCTGTCCAGTACTCCCTGCGGGTTTTCCAATAGTTCTCTAATTGATGTCAGCTCATGGTGAAATCCTCCAACCACTATGAGTACTATCAAATAAAGACACAGAGTTTCTAACGAAAGAAAGATAAACTGATACTTGTTAGATGGTCCAAAGAAATCATCAGGAAGCCGTGTGCTTGGGCTTCATGCTTGTTGGAACTCGCCAATAGCGGATATATCGGCAACCTCGTTTCACAGATCCTAATTTTTCAGTCAGAGACATTCCCACTGAGCTACTCCAGCTCACAACTGACCTCCTTTAGAACTATTGATCTAAGTATAAAACTTGGGCACTGTGGTACAGCATAACTCCATTATGGATAAGATTTTATTTTGATAAATCACACAGTGTTGTAAAGTAATATAAACTGATGACCACATTTCGAGCACAAACTATTGCATTGATTACTAGCATCTTGAGGATACGAGACAAATAATATCTACACCTCTGTCTACGTGTTAATTTAACCAATAGTCAATCGGATGAATATTCCTCACCATCTGATTTCCAGACCATTTCCTCCTATTTAAGCCCATCTTATATTGTGGGTGTCGCCTAGGAGGATGAGCCATGTATTTTCCCAGTGGAACATAGGATTTCAAGCTAGAGTTTCAAAGTTTCGGTAGCAGTGATGTTTATTTTTACGGGATGGAGTTGCTTGCCTCATGCTCAACCTTCCCTCTTTACTAGTTTTATTACTGGCCAAGTGAAGTAAAGGATTGAACCTTTAACCACATGCGTGGTTGGTGAATATTCTACCGCTGTTCCGACGACGCATTGAGCCATGTATAAAACAGAATTTCTTATCATATGAAGGGAAATTGAAATTTCTTTAATAAGAATAAACAAATGTCACACAACTTGACTTGTTATTTGAATTCAACCATTAGTTGAGTCTACTGGAGTGGAGTGTTAGATCTCTGTTGAAATATTTGCTCCTCGTACGGACGCTTCAATGACATTAGATAGTCAACATGATATCCTCTGGTTAATGATAGCTTTTATGGCTTATTGGCCAAGTGGGTAACTCTTTGTTTTTTTGAAGTGACAAGCTGGAGGTGCGAGTCTCAGTGAGACCACAAAGAATCACTGCAGATGTAGATACATTCAGTCGACGAGACTCAAGCTGAACGAAGCGTGCACTTTGAGTTCCAGTACTAGCCACAGCTGATCCAGTAGACATTTCATAAACAATACACTGAAGGTTAAAATTACGAAGAAGTTAATTGGTGAATGGTGACTAGCAGTGGAATCCACCAGGATGCGCATTTCGTCCTATGTGGAACTCGTCAGCCAGTGGATGTACCTGCATTACAATGTGGGTGAGTGATGGCGTTCCCACCAAGGCTTGAACCCAGTGCCCATAGTTTCAAACGTCAAGGCGTTATCCACTAGACCGCTTGGGCAGGGAGAGCCACCTATTGTGCAACGGGTTATATTAATTATTTATTTCCATCAATAGACGGGAAAATCTAAAATTGAATTAAATAATTTATTAAAACGGTTGACAACCAAAACAATCAGACATGAAAAAGAGACCAGCTGATGTTGAATGACAAACAGTGTATCAAGAAAAGTATAGAGTCAAACGGTGTTAGGGGGTGATGTATACATTTTGCAAGGATTTACATCTTACCTCTTTTTTCTCTCGTTCAACAGCTTTAGGTAAGCCAAGTTCAGGATTTTTGAGTAAATAATTCGTCATGCCATTGATGAATTGACGAATCTAAAGGCAGATAGATAAATAAAATTAAATAAACAAAAAATTACAGTAAATAAATAAATAAATTTTCAAGGGTTGATTTGTAAGGATTTGATTTGTTTTTCGAATTGATCAATGAAGCTGTCTTGTAACCGGAAGGTCCTGGGATCCAATCCCATCCGATGTCTGCGTACTGCAGATACTTCCCAAACACACAGCTGGCTGTCCAGTACTCTCTGGTTGGCTTTCAATGGTTCTCTAACTAATATCAATCCGTGGTCAAAGTCTAAAAATAAATAAGTATTTTGATTGGACACTAGTAACTAGTGTGATGTGTCTAGTCCTTTTTTGGTGCTCAGTGATAACTTCTGTGACTGCAGCACTGACTGGGTGATGCCGGTTCGAATCTCAGAACTGAAATGAGTTCCTTCAAGGTTGCAGATACGCCTTGCTGACTGGTAAGTGCCAACTAGCACGAAACCTATGTCAAGTAAGGCTTTCTGTGGTCGATCGCCTCCAACCATCTAAATAAATATTTGTTAATTGATACGACTGCATGTCTTATTAGTTGATTCTACACTACCAAAATTTTCATTCTACCTTTGTAATATCGTCTGTTAGTATGCACCCTTCACAATGATACAAAAGGCTCGTGAAGCACTAGCCAACCTACGTCACCCCTAGCACAGATATGATATCTAGTTCTCGATTAAAAGACAACAGTTTGCTGTGTCCTTCGCTATGGCTGTGGGATATCACCGTTGAAAGTAGAAGACTTGAGGAAGCTAGCTGTCATTAACCATAGGTGTTAGCGTTCTGTTTCTCACGGTGAAATGATATAATATTGTGAGTAATATTGGAATTATTTGTAGAAGGTTATGTAAGGAAGACGTGCGTCGGTGGCATAGCGGTTAGGACGCTCGGCGACCATGCACGTGGTCCTGGGTTCGATCCCCGGCCAACGCACTCCTTTACCTCGCTAGGCCAGAAATAATTCTGGTGAAGAGGAAAGGTTGAACATGAGGCTAGCAACCTCATCCTGTAAAATAAACACTGCTACAGAAACTTCAAGCCACTAGCTTGAAGCCCTATGTTCCACTGGGGAACGTGAAGGAAAAAACAAGAAAAAACATGTAAGGAAGACAAACCACTCGATGAGGTTGTGGAAGTGCAACGCGTCTAATGGTTAGGACACGTATCATCCATGCCGACCCATCGACATATCAACAGACCTCCATGAGATTGTGTGCAGGGATTTGATTTGTCTGAAGTTTGATCACGGATTGATATCAGTTAGAGTACCATTGAAAACCTAGTTCGGAACTCATCGGCAGTACGCATCCACCGGATGAGGTAGAAAACCAGAACCAGCTCATGGAACACTCAGCCACTGGGAGTTGACTCAATGGCCAGCCAACGAAATCTAACTTATATCAATTTGTGGTATTTAGCACGACAACCAGTCAATGTTGTTAGCATCACTTTCAACATTAGGCCATCTGCCGCCTCACTACCGGCTTGGTGAAACTTTTGAAGGTGTACCTGTCAGGAGTCGAATCCAAACCAGCACTGGTATCAAAAATATTTTTGGACAGTAATGCAAGCTCTTTTGTCAACAGTCTATGTTTCTCTTATTGTTTTCAAGTGCATCCACGGTATTGTTGTTATTACTGGTATTTGGCGCATTAGCTTTATAATGCTCACAGTCTTCTAGACAGTATTACTGGTCACATTAATGATTTAACGTTCCTCTTGGTATAAAAGTAACAGTAGTTCATAGAATTCTAAACACCTAATAATTTCTTTAGCGGTTGTAATGTGTTATTATTGATCAATATTATTATTACATTGGGTTTCGAATGGAATATAAGACTTCAATGGCTTAACTCCACTTCATCCCATTCTCTACAGTCCTCTTCAACTAGCTTCACCACCGTCCATAAGCTTTGAGCTCCTTCTCTCACGATCTCCTCCATATCATCCTCTCCGCTTTTTTCAGGTTCTCCTCGAAGGCATGCAGTGCAGTGTCATTTGATGGTCACTTCAGCGTTTTTCCAATCCATCTCCATCTTCCTTTTTTCATATTTGTTGAGCAGTAACTTCTTGGTTGGTTCATTCCCAGAGTTTCTCGTTGCTAATTCTTTCTGGCCTCCCATCAAATCTTCATTATGGAGTCAAAGAAGGCAGCGGCTGGAGAATGTCTGCGGCTTGCCGCTGGAAATGATTTTTGGTGACAAGTCAATTCTCTGACCTATATAGAAGAACTGGCTGACTTATCATTGATGTTGAAAATCGGAGTTTTGTTCTTTATGCTGAGTTCATCAGATTTTCATACCGATTTCAGAGTGATGAAGTTCCCCCTTGTCTTCCGGATCCTGGTTTTGACTTCCTCATAGATGGTGGTGTCCGTAGTTGAAACGATGTTGGGTAAGTAAGTGAAGGACTTTATTGTTGGAGGTGAATTAAAAAATACGAATTCCCGTAGGATTAGAACCAAAGGCCTCCGAATTTCCAGTATGATACTCTACCCACTGAACAATGGGATCAAACTGTTAATCATGTTGTTGTTTCACCACAGTGATAACAGATAAAGGTCAAACTGTTATCTTCCTCTGTTCACTACCAAATTATCTCCACAACTGAGTCTTCTCATGTCAATGCCAATCACACGCTGTAACAGAAGGACATGAACAGGCTTTTAACTGATAGTGAAATTGTATGAGACTGTCTTATTCATTATTTTTACCTTTGGTTCCGAGTGAAACATGGGTCTTCAATAACACATCTACACTTTGTTATATTCTCAGATGTTATCTTCAGCTGACTAGCTACACGACTGCCCATAATCTCTCATCTACTCCTTCCGAGACGATCTCCTCCATTTCACCATAGGAAGACCCACTCGTCGCTTCTCATTCAGATTCAATTCGAGAGCCTGGCGCCCGATGTCATTCGACAGCCTCCTCAATGTATGCCAAATCCATCTCCATTTTCTCTTACATGTTTTTTGAGCTATCAGCTCTTGGTTGGTTTCTTTCCAGCCAGAGTTTCTCATTTTTAATTCTTTCTGGCCAGCCGGCTAGCCATTTGATCTTCCCTATGGAGCCGCCCAGCGAAGGTGGTAACTGTCGATAAAAGTCTGGGGTTGGAAGTGCATTATTGGTGTAGTTGGCGTCAGAAGTCGAATCGTACAGTCACTGGGATTTATATTTCGCCTTCATTTATCACTACCTATCAGTTTTAATGTCCTAGTTTGTACTAATTCGTTTAATTTGAAGTCTGGTCACGAATTGATATCACACAGAGAACCACGAAACGATAGAAGTTGGAATTCGAAGGCCGTTAGATTCCATCCCCCAGTAGCTGAATGCTCAATGAGATCGACATCTATAGGGTTCTTGATGCGTAATGATGAGCAGCCCGAAGTACTAGGATGAAGCAGCTCTGCAGGACTTCCTGATTTTCCACTTTAATTGTAACAACAGGGAAAACAATAATAACACTGATCTTTCAAAAGCGAATAAGAAGAGACTGGGCTAATGTGCATGTCTACGTTTGTGTGTGTGTGCAGATCAATGACAACTTACTGATTGCATTGTACGATAAGGTCCACGTTCACTGCCAGCTTTTGTACACTCTACAAATAAATTGATCTGTTCAGCGATATGATTATTTGATCCAGTTATCATTAATCTAGAAGAAGAAAAAGAAAAAAAGATCAAAGAAATTTTTAAAAAATCAATATCCCACTGCCAGAGTCGGAATTCAAACGCCTACTGCTAATGTGTACCATGGATGTGCAATTCCACTTTGACAACACTTTTTACCGCCAAATAGATGGTGTAGCTATGGGAAGTCCACTTAGCCCTGTTCTAGCAGAAATATTCATGTTCAACCTTGAAAGAACAAAGTTGAAGCATGCAATCGATGAAACAACTTCCTACTGTCGACATGTTGATGACACATTTGTAGAGTGGAAAAATGAAAGTCATGCTTCACACTTACTAAGATTATTCAATGATGCACACGCCAATGTTGAGTTTACTATGGAACATGAAAGTGAGGGAAGTTCCACTTCCTCGAAATCGCCATGGAACGCCTAGAAGACGGTAGTCTTCAAAAGTCAATTTATGGAAAGTCAACATGGGAAGAACAACACTTACATTTTTACAGATTTTGTCCAAATAGCTTTAAACGTGGTTTAGGCAAGACTCCGTACTATAGAGCGAGGAGAACATGCTCCATAGAGAAATTAGAGGAACAATTTGAGTTTCTTGAAAAGACATTGAAGAGCAATGGGTACCCTCAAAGGTTCATCAACAAGTACGCAAGATCTGAAGTCACAAATGTAAAACAAATCACAGTAGGAAAAAAGCCAATCTACTTTCAGCTTGATTATAAAGGCGAAAACATTGCAGAAATGGTCAACAGAAGGCTGAGCACATCACTAGCCATAGCCTATCCTGCAGCTAAGCTCGTCCCCGTATATCGAACAACTTGCTCTTTGATGCAATCAAAAATCGATAGATATCCTTCTCATGTTAACTCCAACTGTGTAAACAAATTTACATGTATCTGCGGGAGCAGTTACACTGGAAGAACAGAAAGAAGGGCATATCTACGATTTTCTGAACGTGCACCAAAAAGCTCACGTCTAAAGGGAACAAATGCTTTCTTTGAACAGTGCCATCGCTAGGTATCTCCTTGATATGGGTCATTAGGTGGACGTTACAAGATCGTTCAAAATAATTAATAGGCAAAAGGGTTCAATTCTCTTCAAGCATGCCGAAGCAATCTCCAGCAAGCTCCTAAACCTGATTTACACGTTCAGAAAGAAGCAGTTATCAGTCTCTCTTTGCCCTACGTCGTAACCGGATATTTTCACCCTCTCTCTTTCATCTGATTTCGTAATCTTGAAAGTTTCCATTGTGTATGATTATTATTGTTGTTCAAAATAGTGTTTAATATTGCATATATATATATATGTATATATTATTAGTGTATGCGTATATTGATCGATTGATTTTAGTTTAAAATGAACTCTGTGCAAGTATGTTAAAATTGTTTTTGTAGATATATTTAATAATATCTTTGCCCTGTAAGCAGATGATGAGAAGCCAACGAAATAAACGATGTGATGGTACCATTTTAATCTGCAAAAACTGTAGTTCTTGCTTTGTTCAAATTTTATTAAGGGGAATAAGTGTATGAAATCAATATAAGAATGTTCTCAAATATTGGCTTACAAGGATTTAATTGATTTCAAATGAGAACTTTACGTGTTTTTGTTAATTGTATAAAACTTGGACACTATAGTAGTGTGCGTACTTCCATGCTAATTTGCTTACTTGAATACATCGTGGACACACACATAGAGAGAAATAATATTATGAAGAAAATAAAAGACAAATTCGGCAAAGGAAATTTTCTTTATCGACGAAATCATCTTGACAGGGTGTACAGTCGTATTTCTATTTACCGAAAATGTATAGTGGTCTATTATTGAGCAATAGGGGATGACACAATTGATATATTTACTCAGAAGTGGCTTTATAAGTAAAAAATAAAAGTTGTAGATATGATGGAGAAGATTTGTAGCTCACGTGGATGATTTTGATGTGGTTGTGTTCTCTGAGCCAGCTGGATAGTTAATTTGCGAAGCTTTCATCAATGCTAGAGAATTTTTAGAAGCTCGGCCTGGTATTCCAGTGAATCATCAATCAATAGACACATCGAGATAGACAAAATTTATCAACCGATAAGAAAGAAACCTCACACACAAAGGATCAAAGTTCAAGTCAAAGAAACAATCAATACACACCAATACAAGCAGCCTAGAAGGTGTGAAAACACACAAAAACAACCAATCACGTACAAGGTCACCAAGAGAGATGATTAAGAAACTCATGGAGAAATCTAAAAGCTCACTTCAACAAATTGAAGTATCCAAGCTGAATATGTTGCCTAGTAGGGGGCAATGAAAGCTTCTCAAATTAACTATCCAGCTCAGATAACGCAACCACATCAAAATAAAATTTGTAAATTATATGGTACTCAACGGTAAAAAGTTAGAAATTTGATAAGGTTAAAATTGCTATCGAGTGTGAAGAAAGATAGTTGAGTGTCCACCTAAAAAGTATGAAAAGAGTGTGGAAATTTACAAAACGGACATGTTAGGGTGATAATAGTGAATTACAAGGAACGACTAATGAAGAAGTTAAGATCATAGTAGAATAAGAGATTGGACAAATGGTTTCCGAATACATAGTTCAGGGTTGTATTGACGAATCACCAATACCTCCGCCAAATACAAAAGCCGAAACCTAACTCCCTTTATACCATTTGGCCTCACCTTATAAAGGATCTCGAAAGATGACTCTGGTGGAGCTGCGTGGCTTGAGTTCACCAAATGCTCGAGATTTGAGCTAGTAAATGTCTTGCATTGTCCTTCTGCTAACCCTGCCGGGTTATGTTCAGAGATGCGTTTGCAAAGCAGTATGCGCTTTGTGTGGCCAATATAACTAGCTTCACGCAAGCAGATGAATTTATAAACACACATTGAAGTGATCCAAAGACAAGATATCTTTTCAGATGATCGAACCGCTGTTTATGTATATACAGTTTATATTCTTTAACCAGTCATCACTGAGCGTGTGATTTTGGTTTACATTAAACGACATGAAATAGAATGTTCAAATATACATAGAGTACTCTTTTGCTAATGCAGTATTGAACTGTGGGCATATGTGAAAATAATATTCCGTCGGAACACCTTCTCTGTATCACACCACCACACATTTCCTTCCGCTATATGCTTTCGACTGAGGTCGGTTCGGTCTTCTTGATGCTGGCGTCTTTGTCCGCTTGTCTTGTTGTATCCAGTTCCGGAGCTCCCTAACGTTCACTCGCTCCTTTTTTGTTTGCATTTCTGATCGTGTATTCATGACCCTGTCTTGTGTTGATCGTGTATTGTCCTTCCCACTTTGAAAGCAGTTTGCATGACCCTGGCGCATATTCGATGGTGTTTCGCTTCACATTATGATATGCTACCCTCGCCTGACGTCTCAGCAGCGCTTCAAGTAACAGCCTCATCGCGGACTGATCTTGAACGTCATACAACTCAACGACAGACTAAAAGTCCTTCAAGAAGACATATATATCTCCTTCTTCAAAAACTGCAGGGCATAGGCTTTTCATTTATTAGTAGGCAGCGACAGCTAATATAACAGCAGAAGGCAAGACGCGAAAGCCAAGGTATTCTTATTCTAACATCAAATAGAATGTTCAAACACATATACCATTCTCTTTCTAACGCAGGATTGAACTGTGAGAATATGTGAGAATAATATTCCATTGAAGCAAATTGTCTGTATTACACCACCACAAAATCACCGTTTACTGGATGATAAAATTTCGAACACAATTTATGATTGTTCATGATTTTATCATCATTTGCAAATGTAGAACATTGATACTGATTGCTAATAGCTCTCTTCTTTCCAGATGCCTAGGATACGTATTCAAATCAATTCTACTGCATGCATTCTTAGTTGATTCGGTACGCCCTGCTGACTGGTGAGTGTCAACTAGCACGAAACCTAAGGCCAAATCTTCCTGTGGTCGATTGTCTCCAACCACCTTATATCATAAAATCAATGTGCACCACGATGGCAAGCTACCTAGAATGGTGGCCATATTGCAAACCTGACTAACGATAGAATTCAGTCTCCATCAAAGAAAGCGCTAGACACCAATCAAAATAACCCTCCACTTATCAGTCCGCCTCTCTCTCGCCTACTTGCCTGCCTGTTATATTAGATTTTAAGACTGTGATCTTATCTCATCCTATTGTAGGGTTTTGTATGTGATTGCATGTAGTTCTGCAGCTTCGTTTTCATCTAAATTCGTTATCAGGGTCAACTAGTTTAGGTAAAGAGGACGGCTACTCGCCTATGACGTTGCCTGGCGGTTGCGCTGCATATATGTTAGGAATTGGCAGAGATTGGAATTCATAGGCCATCAGATTGATTCTCAGTGACTGAATGCTCTACGAGCTTAACTTATAACCGAATAGTCCTAGGTTCGAAACCGAGTGAGTGCTAACTGTTGAAGAGTCCCAAAGTAGAATGAAAAATTTGTCCCAGGTTCTCCGCCGGTTCTCTAGCTGACGTCAGCTAATGATCAGATCTATCACCATTCAAATACCTGCAAACTCCAACACTTGATAATTCGATTTGGAGAGATATTTTGGCTCCTCGAATTTAGTTGGTCGCGTCCTTCTACTTTGGCGTATTTATGTGAGTCTGAAGTTATTACATGATATTAAATAAATTTAATTGTTTTATTTAGTGGGCTGCACAGAATGATTTAATCGATATGTAAGATTTGAAAGATTCCTTCCTGTCGTTTCAAATCCCTTATTCTTGATCTTGTCATCTTTGCGTGTGCGTTTCTCATTTCTGGTATCCTTATTGTTATTATCAGATCACAAACTAATATCAAACAGCTGCTGGACAACTGTTTCCTTATAGTTCCAGACTCCTTCAACATCCAAGACAGCATCAAGAATTAAGTCCAGGACCTTCAGGTTACACGACAAGCCACCTGAATAGTAAGCCACAGAGGGATAGATTCCAAAGACCAATACATTCTAACCATGTTACAAATACTTGCCGATTCATTAGCTAGTTGTT